TCAGCGCAATCATTGATAGATTGCTCTGATCAACCCCTCTTTCCTACATTGGTGTGCAAAACTTAGGGACGAAAGCAACTTTCGATCACTGTGCCTCTGCCAGACAACATAGCTCGATGAAATTCATATCATATCAAGAGAGAACCTTAACGATATTGTACAGAAAGCAACTGACAGAAACTCGGAATAAGACGAATTGTTATGACATTTTATTCAACCATGTCGATTACACATAAAGTTTACGATTTATCTGGTACTGAACAAAAAGAAGTATACACGGATTCCTAATAGAGAGTGTTGATACCAATACATGCTCTGCACCGCAATCCCATACTCTCACGAGGTTGGTAATGAGTTCCTGGGGCAGGGCATTCCACTCCTCAATCAGTGCATTTGACAATTGCTGGATCGTCATTGGTGCATTTGGTCGTGCTGCAATGCGTCTACCCAGTGCATTCACACGTGCTCGATGGATTTAGGTAGGGGATGCGGCGGGCGTCCAAATTCGGCAGGGATATCCTCTCGTTCTAGAAGCTCCTCCACCTGTGCTGTTCGATGCGGTCGCGCATTGTCATCCATGAAAATGAAGTCAGGGCCGATTGCAGCTCTGAAAAGACGGACATGATGTAGGAGAACCTCGTCGCAGTAACGCTGACTGGTGAGGGTTCCATGCTCAAAAATCTGGAGGCCATGCAACATGATGCCTCCCCATACCATAACACCTCGACCACCAGTACGATCACGTTCGACAATGTTTCCGGGGGAGTTGCGTGTTCCCATCTCGCCATATGAGGGTGCGTCCAGAATCATTGCTCGCTGCAGATCTGAATCTTCCTCTATCGAAAAGAGCACAAACGGCTTCATTCCTCATCGGTCCCATTGTCGCCATGCTCGTGCACCACCGTAAACAGTCCTCGGCCCGAATGCCGGCGGGGTCAAAGCAGTTACCAACATAACGGTCGTCGGGCGAAGAGACCACCACCATGCAGTCGTCTTGCCACTGTAGTGCGTGAGATGGCTTGCCCTAGAGTCCTGTTAAACGTCGTTGCAATAGCCGAAGCCGACTGACGAGGATCTCTTCTTGCCTGCTGCACAATGTAGCGGTCGTCCCTTGGTGTAGTTGTCCTTGGTCGGCCACCTCCTCGTCTTCGGGCAGCAGTACCAAAGGTTCGGAACGCTCTCCATGCACGTGAAACAACGCTGTGAGCGATACCGAACTCCTGGGCTACACTCGTCATGGTTCGACCTTCTTCGAGTTTCCCTATGATCCTTCCTCGAGTGAAGTCATCCAGATGCTCTCTTCGGGACATGATGTATCGAAGGATACTACGTCACGTCTTTTGACATGCTACTGCGGTGATTGAGAAAAATTTTTTTTCATACCTATAGACTGCCTCGATTTGCGCGGTCGGCCATATTTGGCACTTTATTCAAGCTCTTCTTCCACCGAGAAAAGTCTAGCTTCCTGTGCATATCCCACAGAGCGAGTGGCAACATGCTCCACCTTTCATTTATTCACGTCAGTTAGTGTTTTTAATGTTACTGCATTTATCGCATCTCGTCATAGGTTATTGCGCACTACAGTGTATTAAATGCAAAAGCCAAAGGTTAGTTTCTAACAACATTGTTGGTCGAACGCTGAGATTTCATGTGACTGGGTTCAGCGCAGCGCCAACTACCTATCTGACCCGACAGTTTTAACGAAGGTGGAGAGAAGCTAGCGCGGCGTCAATTTCAGCCCCTGACAGTGCAAATGCCCGCAGCGAACCAAAGACTGTAATGGCTTGTGTTCTCCGACGTCACTGGTGTGTCAAAGCACTACTGGTGTGGCGCTGGGGCGCGTCACAGTGGGGAGGGGAAGCTGTGCTTGGCACACCGCTAGCGTTCAGCTTCAACAAGCGGTGGAAACGAGCTGGCGTAGCGCACAACCCTACATGTATAACCAATTCCGTGTCATGAACATGACACGGAATTGGTTACTCGTGGAATGTTCCAGTCTGGGGCAACTGTCACTTGTTGCTGTGTGTTGGACAGAGACACGACAATTGTGTCAAGATGAAAATATCTCACCAGAAGCATAAACACCTTCAGGTTAAGTTGAAACATGCGGCCACGCCTACGATCTCAGGGATCTCGCGTATACTTCAGCGTTTCTGCGTTGAATAAATTAGGCTTCCGGATTCTATGCACATGGGGTTATTTAAAGTGATCTAGTGATGATCTCGCTGGAACACGAGCCTAACGTCAACATTAACAAGAGATTGAAGCTGATATCAGTGCATCTTTCATCCTAGGACATAATCAGAAGTATAGTATCCCTTGAGACTGGTAGCGTAGCTGCTCATCTCATTTGGCGTGGCGTAAGAGGGGGCTACATGGTACCGGAAAGCCAGCTATGGGGGATCCGGCGATTGTCCTGACCCGTCGAGCAACGAACTTACCAATCGTAACTTGAGGAGATGTTAGTGTACACATAGTATAGAGCTAAACGTGTCTTCCAGAATAATTTAAAGTAGCTATCCGGTAATTCTTCGAATATCGTGTGGTAGGGAGTGTATCGATCCAGGAATCGATCGCTATTTGTAAGAAAATGCGACGCATCGCATCGCCGCAACCATGTCGCATTAATGGCACGAACCTGAATTTGGACGAATATTAGGCTACAAGTCAGCTAGTCCTTGGGTTTTTTCACTATTTCCCCTTGGTGAGCGAGGAGAGTTACTCCTCATTTACTAATTGTAAGCGAATAATTTTCTCTTTTGTTGTCTTCTCGAAGTTTGGGTCAGAACCTCTGTGGTATAAAGTTGCTCCCGGACCGGGTTACTGTACCGTCGGAAAAATCCCTTCATGCTGTAGTACTCGGTCGCTAGTGAGAGCGGAACTATTTGGTGCATGAGGGTCGTATCTGGCCTTGATAGGAATTTTACGAGCCGCACGATAAACATCTATCCGGTTGTTGACCGGAATGAACCCTCCCTCCCCCTCACCCTACGGCAGTTCTTCGGGAAAGAGGAAATGTTGGGAAACTGGGGAAAAGTGGTAGGAACTTCGAGGCAAAATTCAGCAATATATTGGGTAGCGTGAGGAGTCGGTGGGAAGGGGGGGGTACTCTTTTCAGAGGCATTAGTGTGTAGGGTAAGGGGTCGGTGGGAAGGGATTGTACTCTTTTCAAAGGCATGTTTCCTCAGAATTTGGTGTCTCAAAATGTTTTGGCGCTGAGGCTCAGGCGCAGTTGCCAAGTGTTCTCACACTGAACAAAAGTGATAGTTATCCTGCGATGAGGTTAGCTACCTATCTTGGACAGATCTCCCGTCACATCTACCACTGCGCATGGATCTCCATTGAAATTTAACCCGTTGTACAGAAACTGTGGCAGTAGTGGTTTAGGATTGTTGAACAATTTTTCAGCGCCTGTAGCGAAGGATGGTTTTTCACTTACCCGCGTCTTGTGATAGATTGAAGTGGTCATCACCCAGCACAAAAGCGATCCAAATCGTCTTTGAGTTAATGCCGCTTCGGAGATTTTGATATTTCGAAGAGCGCTCTCGCTATAGATCCTTAAATAAAATATGCTCATATTGAATATCATACTAATTATTCGTTGCGAATAATGAGAATTGTCAAGGGGGGGTGACGAGCTGCTTAGCACAGCACAGCTCGTTTTCTTTTTTCTTTCGGCAAGCGACAAGAGTGCATGTATCGTTAGCATCAGTCCTTTTCACAATTGTTTGTCGCTTACATTAGTCGCTTCAGCAACTGATATGAACGGGCTGGCGGCGCTCCAAACTGTCACGCCTGACACGCCCCTTCATGCGCAGCGACCAACATGACTGTAAGAAAAGTTTCGCGACAGCAACTGGAGATAGTATGGTCCAAATATCAGTTCGTAAAAGGTAACTGGCTCCCCCTTAAAGAAATGTTTGTAGGTATTTACTATTGAGCTCACTACCCCGAAATCTTAGAAAAACATTTTTTTCGCTGAAACATTGGCTAAATAGAACTTATCCTGTGCCATGAACACTAGTGTGCGCAATCTGGACCAACACCCGCCAATCTGACACCACCACCCTTTCCCACCAAAATCTATGAACGTATGTATCCCGAAGGTTATTCGACATTCTTTTCAAAAATGGCCACTTGTTTCCAACGCAGTGCCATCTGACGCCAAATGGCGCCACTTTGTCGCCTGTAACTTTTTCACATAGTTCGAGATACATTCTTGCTCACTGAGGGCGTGGGGCGGGTCAGCGGGTGGGTTTGGCGTGGCGCAAGGGGGACCACAACTGGTGGAAAACTGACTGGCGCCGCGCCAAACCCAGTCCCTCCTAACACGCCCCAACGTCCGCAGCGAACAAGACTGTGGACATGAATACGGTGGTAACATAGCGTGCTAATTAAGGATATGGCATTCATACTTGGCTTCGGCGCCTTTATCACTTTGTCGCGTGGGAATGCCGTTAAAAAAGCCTCCTTCCTGACAAAAACTTCGTTGAACGTTGAAGCTAAGTGAAAATCAAACAACACTCGCATACTACGATAAGATCGTCCGCAATGAGCATAGTGCAGTGTTTTTCAGTGTATTAGATAATAATCTGAAGTAAAGAGCGGCGGAAGGTCCGTGACAAATGGCGCCGTTACCGGCAACCATAGTCCGGAGATCGGAATCCTGTTCAAACTCTCAATCCAGCCCTCTCTTCTCGATTGAGTCTCTCCTGCACGCACGCAGTCCGGCTTAGGGGAGGGGGGGGCATTGTGCACTTTCGCTGCTTCCCATTGTCGTGTTCATTTATTTACGAGGATTGACAGGTATTTTTCACGAAATCTGCAAGTGGTCCCTACAGCCTTTAAAGACAGTTTCCGCGATCGAGCGGTTTGCGAAATGCCTCCGTGCATTTGGAATCGTTGTCCGCAGAGAATATACCACTTTCGTCACTCGAAACGGCGAGATAAAGAAGCTGATTATTGCAACCATTGCAACCACGATTACTTTCACTCTGCAAGACAACGGCTTACAAGCGGAATTGCGTGTGTACATAGCGTTGCCTGGAGCGTCGTAGGGTGATTTCCTGTGCTCTTGCCGGGAATTGGTTGCACGTCGAATCCTGCTGATTGGGCTTGCCGACATCCACAAACTCCTACGGCCCACCCTGAGGGGGTCTCTGCTCAGAAAGTCCCATCTTCTGCTGGGGAGTTCTTTATGGGCTGTTGATTGTGCATCTGCTACCCATAACGCTTGATCGCGGCAATTGTCTTTAACTGATATGACTTCATAACATTTCACAGCTCTCTACTGAAGGCTCGACACGACCTATGGGAAGTATGTAGTGAAAGTGCCCCCCCCAATCCAAACTGCGCCCACATCTGCAAGACCCGTTTGGAAAAGACAAGAGACATAAGGACAGAAACAAAGAGATCATGAATTCAATAAATAAAACAGGTCCAAGTAAGGGAAATGCAAGAGATAATGGTAAAACTAAAGGAACGTAAGACAGAGAAACTCACTCAAATCCACTGTCATCGATGGGTACAAATGATACGAGTTCGATGCCGGTCTTGTACTGAACTTGATACAAAATGTACAAGAATGTCACGAGTATCCATACGAAGTCTATCGAGCCAGAAATCAAGAAATCTGAATTTCATGCATTAGGCAAGATATCAACAGTTAGGCAATTGTTTGCCCTAACTAGAAACCTTAAGGGCGTGGGAAAACGCCTGCACAACCTCAACGTCACCGTCCGCCTCCAGTATGAACCCGAAAGCCAAATTCTACTCACCCCCTTACAGCCCTGTTCACAGCTAATTCTAGGGCGTGTCAGAGGGGCTTGGTTTGGTGCCCATGTCCCTTCAACTGTAGTCGCTTGCTCGCTCTGACAACTGGTGGACAACGGTGTCGCGCAAACCCAGCCCCCTTGACACGCCCCAACACCTGCAACGAACAAGACTGAGACATCCCCTTATCCTTTTCACATTCATGCGGGCTCCTTTCAGCAAACCAATGAAACCTTTACTCGAGAGCATCAAAGTACATTCCTCGAATGGGGATTTCTCAAGGGCACGAGCCCCCTTCAGCCCCAGTTGCCTATTTTCTGGGCTACCAGGCACACCCGGTATAGGGCCAGCGTCGCCATGAAAGCTGCGAATGTTTTTCCTGGCCTTTCTTCTGCGTATTTTTTTGTTCTTATCTGCCGGAATGATCTCTATTGAACAAGAAGTGTCTGAAAACCAATTAAAGATAAGAATCTGCAATAAAAGCAAAAAAAAGCTGTTCCTGGGTTCAAAAACTCTGCGCGCGTTGTTGCTTTTGTGTCCGGGACCATGGGTCTTATACTCCAGAGGATACGGTACAGTCATCACCACTGAAATCAGCCTAGGCCTATTCAGGCGTGCGCTTTGGCACGGTCAGCCCTTTTTCCAGCACTCACTGAATTTTTTGAAAGCACCAGCATTACTGCTTTAGCAGATGCAGCCCTTTATCTCATGCCTGTCGGAAACGAATTTTGGTTCGGCTCCCAGACTCAACTAGCTTTCCAGCCCTCCCCAATTGACACCCGACCTGTTCAGGTAGGACATTAAGTCATTCAATTCGAACATGTGAGGAGATGGCGAAAGCAAAGGGGCCAGCGATGTTAGCCCTAAATCGCTTGGAAGCTGGTATATTCAGCTAGGCATGAACTTTGGCCAACATAGCCACAGAAGAAAAACTTTAGAGTCTGAAAAGTAACCTGAGTGGTCAAGGTCAGCCCTGAATCATCAGATCGGCCTTCATATGAGAAAAGTGCGGTGCTCAAATCAGCCCTGTGCTGGAACAATAGCTGTTCCTCGAAATGGAATGTAGAAGAGTGGATGCGAATGTTCAAAGAAGGAATAACCGAAGAAGTTATGGCCGCGAGCGCCCTGTAATGTTCACCCTGCAAAAGGAAAGCGGTTGGATGAAGTAGAGCGTCGAATGTCGGATCACAGAGATTGGACTGTTGTCGAGCATTCCCGCGAGACTGGTATTCCTACTGCGATCGCTGACCCAGTTACGCCCGACAAATCGAGCATGGAGCATGGTCAAAACGGCGTGTATAAGAGCCCCTCATTTTACTTAAGAAGCACAAACCACAGCCGTATCGATGCTTGCGCTGAAATATTGTCAGCCTAAGACGTCATTCACGACTGTGAAAACGGCCCTTGAACTGGGCAGAAGATGAGTGGTCTTTCACTCCGAGCCAAAACTAAAACCAATGGAAGAAGCGGATGAGAAAGCGCTGAACTCTGCTGTGGGACTTAGCAGATAATCGTCATGGCACTGGATATCTGCACTACGGCCTCTGAGTCTCAATCTAAGCTACTGTCCAGAGACAAACCCCACGAAAAAACCACGATTATCGAAACGCGACCGGCAATCGGGCAGCACTTCATTCGCAATTGTTCAACAACAAAGTTCCAGCGCCCGATGCACCTGGACATGAGAAGCGAGTCCATTGATGAAAGGCGGCATTCACTCAAGCTGAGAATCGGGTAATACTTTATCTCTTCTCTTTCTTCTACGTTTTACTCATATGAAATTTTTCGCGTTTTTGAATTAAAGGCAGCGCCCGCGTTCATCTGATGTTCCTATGCCCTCACCTTAGACATCGTAGGCTTTGAGACAAGGGTTAGAGGTGTCTAGTCTTCGCAGCTCAAAAATACGAGAGGATAGCGCCGCCCGCTTGTAAAGAGGATGCCGCCCCGCCCACCTGGCTGCCATAACTGCTTTGGCTTAGCCTTTAAAGGCTACCTGTTTTCAGAAATTATGACGTATGGCAGCTCATATTAATACGTGATAAAGTAGTGAAGAAAAAAGCAGGAAAAAATTCATGGATAATGCCCTATATGGAACCTTATGCCGGCCAGGTGGGCAAAACTAGTACTATTGCGAGGGCTATGGATTATCCATAGAGGGTGTGGGAACATCATGAAACGTGGGCGCTGCCTTTAATTGACTTATAGAAGCCCCTCAAACAAACACACAGACCAGGTGGAACGTGTATTCGGTTTCGGGCAAGCGACGAACACATTCTTGTCTCTGCGGATGATAGGCGTGACAAGGACAGAGAGTTTAGCGCAGCGTGCTAGCTCTTTCTTTCTTTTTTTTTTTTCTCGCGACAACTTTTATGTATGTCGTTTGCAACATTCGTCGTTTTCCATCACTTTCGATTACGCACTTCATCAGCTAGTGGAAAACGGGCTGGCGGCGCGCCAAACCCGCCCTCACTAACACGCCCCTATATCCGCAGAGAAGGAGACTGTATCTTAAGTATATTGGACACGGCGCGTTTTCGCTGCGGACAACGCCATTTGGTGTTTGTTTCTGTTCGGCCGTTGCGATTTGCGACAATTGCAACGACGCGAAACGTGTACAGCCGGCAAGGTGCACGTGGGAGTTGAATGCGCTAATACAGTCTGGAAAGGGGAGGGTGGGCAGCATGTGTTGACATTTAT